TTCAGACATACTGCTAAAATGTGTCCCTGGAGAGATTCAGTATATAACGATATAAGCGCAGGCTGAAACTCTGAGTTTAGTTGAGAGACATCCCCAAAACCCCAAAACCCCCCCAAAACTTATTTGTCTTTATCTAACAGTGGTTTACAGGGTACGGTTTCTATAGCTAAATTAAATGGTTTGAATTTGAGTAAAAGCATCAGTAAGCAGTGTTGTTGAATAGCATCTGAAACACACCTGGTCCCATTCACACATACAGGAAATAACAACAAAGCCCATATTTTACTCGACTTGCAGCGCAATAACTTCTATTTTACTTTCTCTTTGGCTTTCGCCTCTTACAGGCTCATAACAGATACAACCCACCTCTCTGATGTTTGCAGCCAATCAATAAGACAGTGATGTGACACTGACCTGTCTCATCCCAAATGTGATCCAGCTCATATTAGTTCGAGCATCAGTGGTTGTTGCTAAAGTCCTGCAGCCTGTTGCACCAGCTGTGTGTAAGTTCAACCTTAGTTATAACGTAAATGATTACTAAGATTTATGCATTACTATAATAAAAGCGATTTTACCACAGAGATAAATTATAACTTAACTCTTAGTAACTATTAAATAGTTACATATGCCCCTAAGGCAGAATTCTACTCACTTATGGTATAACAGAAGTTGTTTCTGTTACACTGCATCATTTCAAATAGACCTAACTTATTGATATATTTCAATATTGATCTAGCTTACTACCATGTGCTGCGATGACTCAGCGATTAATGAACGACGTGGTTGCCTCCGCAAAGTCCTCGAAGGGGAATTATCCCGCTTATAACATAGTCACTTATTTCACTCTGTTTCCCTGGTAACACCTGAGGTCCTTCCTAATACCTGGAAGAATCATTACCATCCCATACGGCTCTAATGCAATGGAAACAGTGTTCACTACTCCAGTAAATAGGATGAACCATAGATACAACTTCCCTCCGCTCAGATCAGCTCATCTTTATGTAAAGTCAATTTACACACGGAGCAAATTTATAGCGACAATGAGCAACCAACAATATAAAGTACGAATATATAGAAGCGGATCAAAAATAACATTTACAATATTTCATCGCGATTGAAAAATAAAAAAAGATTTTTAGAATATGCTTTTCTTTCTGTTTTGATCATTAATTCTACTTTTATCACCAAACAAGCATTTATTATCATAATTATAATTCCACTTGTGATTATGCTAAATAAAGTTGGCATTGTTGCAAACTGAAGCCATGATAATCTTCCCTGCAGCCACCTTCCGCCCTACACGATGTTAAACCTGCTGCAGTTTGGTCCTATAGACTCCTGATCATCTGCTGTTGTTCATGCAGTCAGACTATAGCTAATCTTTTCCCATGTAGCTCCAAGCCATGCTATAGCTACTGCTAATCTCTTAGCCTGCAGCATTAGCCCGTGCTAAGGCTAATCCCTTTTTGTGTAGCATCGGGCCGTACTAGCTGTAATCCGCTGTTGTGTAGCCGTGCTAATGCTAATCCAGCTGTCAGTCAGAGACGTGTCGGCCGGAGGGAGAGTGGCTGTGAGACACCTGTCTGCTGCTCACTCTGGTCCGGCTCCCCTCCTTCACTCTTATCTCCCACTTTGAGTCTGACTTTACCTTTTTTTTTTTTTTTTTACACATCTGCCCATCTCTGCCTTCTTTTTCACCTCCTTCTTTCACTTCCATTTCTCTCTGTCTATATCTGACTACATTCCCGTTAATCTCTTTCCTAATCCGCCCTTCTTTTGGAAGAATGTCGCACAATAAAGTCGATGTTGAACCACTCATAAACCCGGCTTTTACAGCTATAGCTTCTCCTCACATAAAGAGGAGTATGGGAAATGTATGCTTTTTGTGATCGCTGTCAGTTTGCTGCTGTTTTATACTTAAAAATCGTCACTGAAATGTGTGTGTGTTTATGAGCGGCTAAAGCTGCTATTATTCCATTATTTTTCTTATTGTCCAAAAATACCATGTATACAGACCTAAAGCAACAATGAGTCAGTACTTCTTTTCTTCCCTACCCATTCTCATTGTGGAAGCTGAGTTGTGGAACAAGAGGATTTGAACCCAAATGCAGACGGCAGAGCAGCAGCAGTTTAGATGATTTATTGTAAAGACGGTGGCGGAACATTAATGTACATCACGATGAGGTAATACCCCATAATAGTCAAATAAATCCAAAAGAAAGTCTAAAAACTGAGGAAGTAGTCCATACAAACGTGGAAACACGAGGGAAACAGGCAGAAGGCTACGCGTGTGAACAAGGACGAACTAACAAATGAAACAAAAACTCAAAGACTGACTTCTCAGCCGAGCTGCAGGATAAGAAATAATCCAGGCGGGGCAAACAATCAAAACTGGAAGTGAAGTAAAACAAGACACAAGAGCAAGACAAGAGCAGGGAAATTACAAAATAAATCAGGTCATACCCTGTCTGTGGCTCTCAGCTCAAAGCCCATTGGAAGGTGTAAGTCTTAGAAAATGGCTCACAAATATAGTGAATCAGTAATTCACTAAAACAGCTGTAGCAGTGTTTATCAAATGTTACTTAGAGGGTAATAACCAGTTTTGGGGAACAAAGTAAGACGTTGAAATACACACGACTTGGTCATCACAACGTTGTAGTTTTCCAATTCAAGTAATTAAGGTATTTAGTTACTCAAATAAGTAATCCATTACAGTTCAAATTCTGCTGTATTCCCATGTTCCTTTTCTCCTGTTTATTTGATTCTCTGGCTAGACAGCTTCCTGTCGTTCCCCCAGTGAGTCTCCTCCTCGTTCCTCCTCCCAGTCACTTCCACTCACTCCTTTCTTGTTATTCATGTTCTTTTCAGCTCATTTTTCATGAACACTGTTGTTTTTCGGCCATCGTCCATCATGTTGTGTTTTAGAGTCATTTAGATTGTGTTATCCAGTTCAGTTGCACCTTATCATCAGGACTTTCTCATATTTTTCTTTTTGTTTTGAAGTTATTACAGCCTCCCTTTTTGTGTCATTTATCTCCGCTGCACAAATTGTGTTTCTTCCGCGTTCTTCTGTTGTGGCAGCGTTTTATCACCTTGTTTAATTACCTTACTTGTATCTTTTATGGAGGCACAAACTAAATTAACTAAAGTAAACAGAAGTGCATCCCTGCAGGCTTGGAGCCAATTCAAGTTAATAAATTTAGAAAGTGGGATTTCTTCAAATAAAAAAGCAGAGAAAAAAAAAAAAAAAATATATATATATATACTACATTTTTGCCAATGCATAGAATGTGATATAACTATTCCTCCAAAAGGCGAACAGTCACCTACGCTACACCCACACCGCTCTGACATCAAACTTAGAGAAAAATTCCACCTTCAGGCGTCTTGTTGGCACAACGTTATATATCATCAGTCTGTGATGCTGACTGTGTTCCAGGAATTCTTCTGTGAAAAAATGTTCTAATTTATTTTTTTGCCCGCTTTCCCTCAACCTTCCTCGTCAGCTTCACTTAGTGGCTTCTTGCATTTCCCAGAATGCCTTAGGAGAAACCCAAGAGAGCACACATGAACAATCGGCTGCAGGTTACGGTGTGTGGGTGGACCGAGTGATGAGGAAAGCAAGAAAGTCAGAGGAGTTTTTCTAGCTGTGAAAAGCGAGAGTCGTGCCACTTGCTCAAAACGAATCTTTTTCATCTGTCGAGGCCACAGAAAACTGCATCTCTTCTTCTTCTCTGGTAGATTGTTCCCTGTATGATCGCTGAATGTTGGGAGTAAATGTCAGCGGCTTTAGACAAAACTCTCGCTCACTGATTCTGAAGGATTGTTGGCAAAAATGCCAAACAGAAGCATTTTTGAGTATTTATACATCAAGATTCCTCTCTTTCCCTATGAAATGTCAAAATATTTGGGTCATTTGGGTGACGAGCTAACCCCTCCATTCATAAAGTGCACTTGACCTTGTTAGCTCGGGGGTCGTGGAAGCTAGCAAGTTGGAGTTGTTTTTCAATGTCAGTTGGTAAAAACTTTCCATTTCCCACAGCACATGGTTGAATGGCTTAACCATGCCCATTTTCAAGCACTCAAATCAAATCCTTCCTGAACAAATGTATTCCACCGTACCTCGTTCAACTCAAATATTCTAACTGCTATTTCTCCATGCCTGAACACTGAAACTGCTTCTCAAATTTTAAATAAGAAACACTACTCAACTGTTTCTTTGCTATGATACACACCAACAGTCCTAATATTTTCAGCTGATGATCACACAAGCCAAAATAAACCAGTGAATCCTCAGAGCTACAGTAGAACTGGGACACGTTTGGCATTTCTTTCTTGAAAACTGACTTAAACAATGAATTGATTGTAAAATGTTTGCCAATTCATCTTCTGTTTGACGCACAGATTAATCAAATAAGAAATTCAGCTCTTAAACACTCAACCCAGTGACTCAGAACAAATGAACTTGCATTTAATTGCATTGCAATTAAATGATTCAGTTGGAATTTAGGACTTTATGCGACATTGTGGTCCAATGTAAACCAGGACTTGACTAAAAACTTAAATCTGAAGTCCTATTGAAATGATGCTTATGTTACTTTAGGTTTAGCAGATTTAGTTTTAAACAATGTAACTAGATGTTGCTTTACATGGAAATAGCTAAACTGGAGATGACTGAAAACGATTAATAGTCAATTGTCTGCAACTTAAAAATTTGATTTATTTACTGGCTGTGGATTTTACTTTACTCTTTCTAAGTCCTGCAGAGGAATCTTGAACAAAGGAAACGAGGGAGCGAAAGAAAGACAAGAGTGTGGTGGATAGAGAGAGGGTGGAGGGAAGTGACAGGAGGGACAGACGACAGAAGGAAAAAAAGCTCTAGGAATACTAATGAATTAATGATGCAACATGTTGACATTTCTCTCTTTCTCCTTTCCATCTCTGCACTCCTTCCCTCCCTTCTTCCCTCCATCTCCTCCTCTTTCTCTGCTTTTCTGCAGGTAGGAGGGTGCCCTTGTTAGCTTGTCATTCTGTTGTAACCCTGAGGCCGGCGATGTGACTGGAATGTGAATTCACCATAAAAGGACTGACTCTACCTGAGGACTCCCTGCTTCTCCAAGAAACTCAGGTAGGTCGCCTGTAATGGAATTTTTAATGCACTAATTCTAGATGTGTTCTGATTATCTGTGTGGAATAATTACAGATGGTGACCCGCAGGCCAAGACACATCCTGACAAATGTTAAATGTTTGATTGAGGCCTGCTTTTATGTGTTTTTTTTACAAAACCTGGGGTCTTTCCTGCTTTCGTTTAATAGTTTACTGTAGCAAGAAAGCCTTAAAGATACCAAAATATCTAACATTTATTAATAAGACTCAAAAGGACACCTAGAGTATGTAGCGTTAACATATTATTAGACAAAAGACAAAGTAGAACAAATTGTGCTCAACTTTTTGTCAGGTTTTGAGCAGCCTGAGTGGAGCAGGTTTCTCTCAGAACATTAATTCATTTCTCTCCTGCAAAAGCAAATTCATCCTGAACTGAAGAGAACTTTAGACACACACACTCTCACCCTGTGGGGGTTAGAGACAGAATTAGCTTTTCATCTTGCATTCTGTAGACATTTTTTGCTTCATTATCTCATAAAAAGTCTAAACCCAACCTCTTTTCCAGTTCCTGTTTGTACAGCTTCTATTGTTCCTGCATCACAGTCAGCATTGTAAAACAAAGTTTCCTATTTTGTTAGTTAAACATATCAGTTAATGTGAGTGCAATGTGAATGTAAGTTAGTTTGTTTGTTCTCTGTTTATGAGTTCTTAATGGAAACCAGAGATCAGGGGATATTGGTCCTTAAAAGGGTCGGTGTTAGATCGGTAACATGCGCGACCTGTGAAAGCAGGTCGTAAATGATCAAACTAGCTAAGGTTTGTCACCAAATGGCACTCTACATTCTGTTGTTCATCCTCTATAGTGTCCACTCAGTTCTCTTTGAATGGAGGAACTGTGAACGTATTGTGACGTCACCCATTGGTTTGTGGAGAGTTTGTTGCAGCGGTGACGCACTGCAAGTTGGTTCTGAAAACATCTGAGGCGTAACAGAATCTTCATTTTTATTCATATCTGATCAGCACTGTTTGACAGTTTGATCTGAGTTTGGTGCGTTGAGCTGGACGGACTCACTAAGAATGAGCTGTCAATCACAAGGTAGCCCCGCCCTAAAGCAAACCCTGCTTTATGGTCTGTTTTACTCTCAATGGGACAATCAGTTACTAAATGAACATCATGCTGTATGGAAGAAGACTGAAACTAGAGACTGAGACCAGAAACTCATCAGGAAACTGTTTACTGAGCTCATACACCAGCTGAGAAGTCAGCTCATTTCTCCATAAGACTGAATACGAGCCAATGGAGCTGCCCCCTGCTGGCCATTATAAAGAATCCAAGTTTAGGACTTCCACATTGGCTTTACTTCACAGACCCGGAAGCTCTGTCCACTAATTACAGTATATACTGTCGATCAGAAGGGCAACTTACTATCATTATTTTCAATCCACAGACACATCAGGAGCAATTTTGGGTTCAGTGTGTTTCTCAAGGGCACTTTAGTGGGTGGTTCGCTTTACCACTAACCTTACGATTAATGGCCAGTCTCTGCTACCTGAGCTATAACCTCTCTCACTCTTTCATAGGCTTTGTTGCATCTGTTAGGGCTGGCCTTTAAGATATAAACTACAGAAAAAAAACTTAAAAAGAGACGTTTGTGGTTATAAGAAAACATTTAGGAATTTAGCAGTGCCTTTAAATGAGGTCAGTCCACAGTCTCGTCTTTGTGTGAATATCTATTACAGCTGATCATTTTCTACGGTGCACTTGCTCAAGGGGACACTGTAATGGGGGACTGGGAATTCATTTATCCACTGTACCTGCTACTGTGTTCCAGCCTCAGTTGGTGAGATGATCTGATAATTCCTTGCATTAACTTTTGTTTGGATCCTGACCTTTGACACGCTGTGTTCACTGGTTGCATCTAGTTCAGCCCTTCCTTGTGTCTGTTTCTGTGTCTATGCATGCATTGTTTATTGTGGGTGTTTTGCTCCATGAACATGTGTTTGTGGTGCGTGTCAGTGTCAGTCATTGCTCTTTGAGGTTTCTTTTAAGCAAGCCTAAGTAGACGCACACGGACAGTGATGGTAAGTGTGTGTTTTCCTGAATAGATGTAAGGGACGGGACAGACCTGCTGACTCATGCACAGCTGATGGATAGTGCTTTATTCCTGCTGTGCGTGCTGTAGCAGACTTAAAGCCACTGAACTGAACTCAGTGTTCAGTAAAGAGAGATTGTAAAATACTGTGCGTAAAAGTGCTGCTTTTATTTTTATATTAACGCTAAAACCCTAACCCCTACCCCCTAACCCCTAACCCTAACCATCTAAATCCTTAAACATGTCATTATAGATTGTGGATGTCCATATGTATTAATAAGTAAAGATTCAGCAAGTTCAAGTCCTTAACTAGACCCTTCTACTCTCTCCTTCTTGTCTCCCTTTATTCCAAAACTCCATGAAGCCAATTTACAAAATAAAATGTCCTGGTAAAGCCTCACAGTTGAGTCACTTAGCTAACTTATCCAGAGTGACTCACAATGGCTGCAACAGTATAAGCTGCAATAAGCCCCAATTCCTGCATCACCCAAAGTACAAGTGTCCAAGAAGAAGAGCTGTAAGAGGATTGCAAGGGTCAGAGCTGCAGTGCAGACAAAAGATGGAATAAATATTCCTGTGTCCATTAAAAAAGGGATCTTGTGCAGTATAACAGCAGCGTGCTAGAGCATAAAATAAAATAGAAGAAGAAGAAAGACGAAGAAAACTTACGACATTTCTCTATTTGGTTTTTAAAGCGGCAAAGGTGGTAAAATAAAGAGCACAAACACAGACTGCATTTTATGTTAAGATGATTAAATATTAAAAACAATCACCATGTGCATTAGATTATTATGTTCCAATCGATAAAGTATTAAATGTATTAGTTTAGGGTTAGGGTTTGTAGCATCTGTAAGGCCGCAGCTGGACCCTTCTCTCTGGAGGAGCTGTCAGAAGTCTGGAAAACAATAACACAAATAATACTCATAATATCACAGTCATTTCATCAGGGTCATCTCGGCTTAGGACTGGAGACCTGACAATTATAACTCAAAGCCCATTTTACAAAATAAATGATGTGGGCATTAATCAGGCAGAAAAGGTCTAATGAACTATCTACACTATGGAGTTGCATTAGGGGAAGTGGTCCATGGTTTTTGTAGCCACACAAGGGTCTACAAATCTCTCTTGCACATTGGCACTTCATGAAAGTGCGATGCTACATTGCTGGAGAGCTCTTTTAATAATGCACAGTGACTAAGTCCATATTTAGTGAGTTTGATCCCAGGGGGAGTGCTGCTCTTGACTTGTGTCCCTCTCAGTGTCAGTGTCTTCAGTCTGTCCCACAGGGCCGTCGCTCTTCTGGCTTCGTAATGTGTTTAATATGCAGGAACAGAGAAGAGAACACTCAGTCTGTGTGAACTGATGATCATGATTACACATCAGGGTGACAGGAGAGCCTCTCCTCCCCAAAGATTCCTCCTCACCACTCTCTCGTTCTCTTTCCCTCTTTCTCTTTTTTATCCTCTGCAAACAGACGTACTGTACATATAGAAATATGCAACCCCACACTCACATGCTAGCCCTGAAAATCTAATCATGTGCCATTTCTTCTAAGAATAGAAAGGGGTGGGTGAAGCACCCGTAGGGAGCTGGTTAACTGTGTGTGTGTGTGTGTGTGTGTGTGTGTGTGTGTTCCCTCTCTGTAATCTCCATCTGATTAGTGCAGAACAGGGATGATGAAGGAGAAGGGATCCACTTTCAGCCAATCACTGACTGAGTGTGTGTGTGTGTGTGTGTGTGTGTGTGTGTGTGGACTAGGTGTGTGTGTGTGTGTGTGTAGGTGTGTGTGTGTGTGTGTGTGTAGGTGTGTGTGTGTGTGTGTGTGTGTGTGTGTGTGTGTGTGTGTGTGTGTGTGTGTGAAGAAAGGCGATAGCGTCCTCTCAGAGAATCAGTCATTTGATATTCCAGATCCTTTTCGGTTTTCTACATCATTTGGTGCATCCATTTACCCACAGTGCACACACAGATTCGGTGGGAACCTCTGCTGATGTTGCTTACTAAACACCACTTGTTATAGATACTACAATTGGCATGTAAGCTGATCAACTACCCAACAATTTAGCAGAAAGTGGTGGAACAGAAATAAGTACATTTATTGTATTGCAGTGTGCAACATTAAGAAGGATCTATTGTCAGAAATGGAATATAATATTCATAGATATGTTTTAATTATGATATGTATAATCACCTGAAAATAAGAATTTTTCATTACCTTAAAATGAGCCTACAGAGGGAGCGGGTTCTCTTCTATGGAGTCCGCCATGTTGAACCACTATGTTTCTACAGTAGACCAGATGGACAAACCAAACACTGGCAATGGAAATGCTCAGAATGGTTTAAAACTGGGTGTGCAAACCTGAACAGAGTGGGTTGCCTGTTGGAGGAAACGTACTTTGTGCTCTCTCTGTCATAACAAAAATGCAATCTAAGTTGTAATAAATAAATCAGAACTCCTGTTACTAATGCAGTGCTTGCACGCTATTTCCCAGTGTAGTTCCCAAAAGCATTATGTAAATGAGGGTGCCAGAACTCATGTACTTTTGGTTTCATATGAAGGTTTTGGACTTACATAATGTTACATAATAATCAGTTGATCAGCACACTTTATAACCTCCAGACATCAGAGCCTAAAGAGCAAACCTAACCACGGTTTATTCCCAATTGCATTCATGATTTTACACAAGCATACTAACCTAATTATAATGCTCTTAGTTATTAGCTTATAGTTGTAAAATGTAATGTAATGAAAGCAGATTTTAATACATTTTACATGTAATGCCAGCTTTTATGGAACCCAACAATGTTTCTATAAACCCAATGTCACTTTTAGTTACACGTTGTCCTTGTGAGGAACTTGCTCGCTGATTCCCTGTAGGTGACTGAAGAACTCTTGGCTGAACCTTGGATTTTTAGAGCACATACAGAAAT